TGACAAGCCTCCAGTGAATTCAATCAGCTCTCAGTTGCCACACAGGATTACTGAACATAAATCACAGCTCAGAGCAAAGTAAAGGCTTTCAAACACCACTGTGCAACTCAACTCAATTTATCTTTTATATAAACAGGTATTTTAAAGGCACCCCTTATTTATTTTTGGGGGGCAAATTTACAGTCTGGAGCCTATTACAATACTGTCTGTGAAAGGATTTGTGTTTTTTTTAAGTGAAAGCTAATTACCCAACAATTTTTACACCAATTTCACAATTTGATAAACTTTTTGGTTTAAAAAGAAATGGATTTATAGCAAAGCTCTTCATCTACAGTGGCTGCTGAGTGTACGGCTCTGCTCCTTTCATGGGAATCTGTCACCGTGGAGATGTGAAGGTGCTCCCTCCCTGCCTGAGCCAGGAGAGACTGCAGCACATCCCACTGGACCAAATTTATCCTCAGAATTATACCAGTTGACTCTTCATGATGAGATAATCAGAGACACTGAGCTTAATGTGACACTGTCACATGGCAATTATATCGTACTTGCTTGTGATTTAAAAGGAAATCACAAAAAATATTGAAATAAATACATTAAAACAGACTTAGGTCCATCATGTTAACCATGGCACCATTTCCATTGATGCTGCAGATACTAATAAAATGGCATTAAACCACAAAAGCAAACTAGAAAATGTGATTAAATAAAGTCTTTAACGTCAGTCCATTATTTGCTTTCATCTGCTAATTAATAGCCTACCATTCAATAATAATGACATTAGTCTAAACATCTTTTATGGGACCCCTTTGTCCCAGGATAAATGCTTTCCTGTAGGATGCAGGGTGGGTTTTATGTTTCCAGAAGTAGCAACAAGTGGCAGACTATATATTATTGCACTGAGTATCTGTTTACACATTGGACCATTGGGCATACAGTATATGGGGTGGAAAGGCACAAAACTCCAAATAACAACTTGTTAAAGAGAAAGACAAACATCTCCACGACAAAAGAGGAACTACATTATCACTTTAGAGCTGCAAAACCAAATAACCCAAATAACGAGTTCTCTTTGGGTTTCACACTAAGAGCCCTTGTAACTTGGTAATATAAAAACATTAATAAGTCGAGCTTTAAATCAGGCGTGTCACTGATCTTAGCCCGCTGTCTTAGATTATAGTGCTGTCAATCAAAAGGTCTAAATCTGATAATGTTACACATGAAATGTATTTCTGATGATGCATTTTGGAACATATTTTTGTTTTGATGAAGTCAGGATGCTCTCGTCACATCATTATATTAAGACAGTTCACGTTAGATAATCAATAGCATTTCCTGGGTCCATGTTTTCCTGCTCCTCCCCTCTTCTAAGAATACGCTGGCCGGCCTAATCACAGGAACCGACCCAGGCTGGAGGTGCATGCCTTTGCACATGGCAGCACAAATTAAAATGTCTCCTGCCGCCCGGCTCTCTAATTCCCTGGCACTATGCCTTGGCCTGTCCCACGAATTACAACCAGACCTCTCCATATGGTGCAGCCAGCATGGGGCAGGCCAGTTTATTGACATGAGCTCCTCCCTGAACTCTCTAAGTCAATAACTGAGTAGCTCAGAACACACACATTTGGCCAGCCACAGAGTGCTAACTCCATAACATTATTAAGAGCAATAGTAAAGGGACTTGGATAGTATGAGCAGGATTTTTTGTCCATTTTCTTAAGGAGACTACTACTTGATACCACAACACATAACATTATACTGAGAAAGAATCAAGACTTTATCAAATTCTGAACCATTTATTCCCACATGAGCTGCACTGTGTGATTCTCGGGCAGGGGTCTCTGGGTCATTCCTAAGTCTAGACTGAAAACTCAAAGTGATTGGACGATTTCCAGTGTGGTTCTTTAGCTTTTTAATCTCGGTTTTATTGTCTCGTTCACAGTTAATGGTATCAAAGAGTCGACCTCTCCCAGATTTAGATGTTTTTTTCTTTTTCTCTGCTGTAATCTCTGTTATTAAGTATTATTACCCCTCAGCCACCCAAAGATGTATTGTTTACTCATAGATAATAACTAGTAGTGGGTCAGATTGTTTCCTTTTGAACCTTGATCAGCCAGGACATTGGAACTGCCCATTTTGATTAAATCATAGGTTGATGCTATTTTTGGTCAAATAGAAAGAGTTACCTTAAAAGCACAGAATAATCTGATATTACCATAGCAACAGTGCAGAGTAGGCATTACCTGTATTATAACGGCAAAAGGTTATGATAGTTAACAAAGGTCATAAAAGGATTAAGAAAAGTCCCGATGAGGACAATGGAATCAGAAAATAGACTGATATGTTATATGAGAATGTCAAAGACCAACTAATGATCAAATCAAACAGGTCTTATGACTGTTTATGACTCTAAACTGCATATATTCATATATTTTGGAGTTGTAAATCGAACATTCTGTCTTTGTACATTTCTGACCTAACTGAGGTTATTTTGTTCCAGTTTTTGCATCTATAACAAAATATAAACACATTTTATAGCCCCTTTATACCTATAAAACCTTCAAAAATAAAAGTTTAGACAATAAATTCCAGGATAAAAGTGGTGAGGGGAGGTTACAGACTGAGCATTTCAGCTTAAATAATTGATAACTTGAAATAAAATGTGAGAGTGTTTACCACAACAAAGCTCAGACAAAACAAAAGAAAAATGTTTGTCTGCTCAAAAGATGAAAAAAGAATATATGCTATAAATTTGAAAAAAAATGGAAAAAAAGAGGGTTTTGGTGGCCACTTCCTTTGCTTTGTTCTCTGCTGGATGTATCACTGGTTTATTTTTCTCTTCTGTTATGTCTGCATTTAAGCTTTGTGCAGATGAAGAAATTAGCTAAAAAGCAGACACTCAGAGTGCTCATGCTGTGACCCTGAATGCTCAAGCTACTTGAAACACAATTATATTGAAATATTTCTCTTATTGTAAGCTTGTTATGGGTAAAACAATAAGCTACATTCCTGAAATGTAAATCCAAAAAGACACCGTAGAGTAAATGTACTGCAGTGAGGGACATCCTCAAACCAAAAACCAGACAATGATGTTGTTGTTGACTCTGTTATCAGAAGACAAATCTTTCACCGCAACAGAGATGGGACAAATCCTGCGGTTGGAACACGGAGACGGACTGCCTCCACCTGCAACTCAGTGCCAGACTTTTCCAAACACACATGCTGCTTTGTTAGGATCAGCGATCAGTGTTTGTCAGCCACATTGAGTGTTGTTGATGGTGTTGTTTTCAAATGTCCTGCCGATACTTGGTTCTCGCCTACACGTACCCTGGATGCAGATTATTAGGCCGGGGCTCAGGTAACTGATATGTGCCTGGATAAAACGTAAACAAGCGTGAAACACCTTATGACACGCATGAGTAGAGGGGACACAGAATCTATGAATAATTTCATCACCGGCTGAATGACCCACTGCTGCAGCAGGTTACCTGTTCCCTTTCCCTGCCATTGATGAGTAACACTTTAAAACTCATTACTTATGGCAAGGTAAGGCCAACCAATAATGAATACTAACATATATGTCCTTTAACCAAATAAAAATAACATTTTGATAACAACAATCTCAAAAGATTCAAGTTGTTAAAGGCTAAAATGGCCAATTCAGCATTTCTCAATGGAAAACCAGAGAACCACAACTCATAGTTCCCAATCATGAAAACATCCTGGGGCAGTTCCATCCACAAAAGAGAGTAGACAATATTTGTGGGCTTATGGATATTAAGCTGGGATTTAAACATGTAAATGAGTCGTATTGTTCCAAAACCAGAAAATGTACTGTGCCATGAGCCACAACCCGGCAAAGTACCGTAACAGCATCCTATTGTTTTAAAATGTTAGTCTCTGTTGAAGTGTACAGCTAAGACAGATCACAAACTGTATGGTGAACTTACAAGAAAGCTAAAGGCAAAAAGTCAAGGATCTGAGTTTTTTCCATTTAAATATCCAGCTATTTACAGTACTGTAGTTATACTGTATATATACTGTAACATGCAAATCAATGCCTTCATCTTTCCCTAAAGAGCTTTCTAAAGCATTTTATGCTCTATGCAAAGCCATTACGTCTGTTTGAAAGATACTACACAAATAAATCTGCCTCACCTAACTCTTTCTTTCTTCTTTCTGTTGATGTTTTACTTGATCCAAGTCTTTTACTTTTCTCTCCTGCTTTCCCTCTTTGTCCTCTCGTAATTTTACCATAGAAACTTCAGTGTTTACATCCTGTGTGCCTTTCAAGAAGACCTTGTTTATTCTTGAGAGTGCCGGTGTGTGACTCTCTTACTATCATTCTGGAGGAAATACCATGAGTCGCGTGCCAGTCGCAGTTAACCACAAACCCAAGCTGGGTGGAGAGGGCATTTTTCATATAAATCATGGAATATGGCTGTGAGCGAGCCATTGCCAGGCTGAGTGAACAGCCATAAATAGATTCCCACTGCATGTAGTAACAGCTTTGAGCAACACAAAGGCAGACTGTAGTAACCATTGCCTGTGGTAGAGCGGGAAAAAAGGGCTCTTATTGTTTATGTGCGTTGCGGAGTTAGTCATAAGGTATTACCAGGCTGTCAAGTTCAATCCATGAAACATTGAACTTCTGAATCTGTTTTGAATGCTTGAAATACCCTGAATTTCCACTTAAGTCCTCCCCTCCCACCATCAGAAGGCTTAAAAGTATGACAGAAAAGTCCCTTAATGAACCCCACCTGAAGTATCGGGGACCAGCGGCTCTGACACGCTTTGGTCTTCAACAAAACACTCACAGACTCTCATTTCCCAAGATTGCTCACATCACATGACATAAATGGAACTCTCTGGGATATATATCTAGTGCTGCGATGAAAGATACTAAAATAATGTCAGAGGTGGTTAATGAGGGCTCTTTGAGCAAGAAAGTGTGACAGTACAAAGGCTGCAAGGAACAAAGACTGATGTGGAATGTTACTAACCTGGAAGCTAAAGTCATACGGGGATAATCGGTTCCAGCGATGCATAAATTACAAGGGGAGGAACAGTGATGGTCAGCAGCATGGTCAGAAACAAGATAAAAAGAAAGAAAAAAGAATCAGATCAGTATGCGCTTGTGTCATGCCTGTTGGGTGTCTTATCAGTGCTGCTGGAGAGGTCACGTCAGGACACAAATCACACCCCCAGACTCGGCTGTCTCCTCTCAACTTACACAACAGTTGGGCTACATCTGTTTCTCTTTTACTCTCTCTGTCTCTCCGCATCTTTCTCTCTTTGACTGTTTTCCCACTCCTGAAGTGTGTTGTTTCATAGTGACGTTTGTTGGCCCAAAAGTGGACTTGCTTTGGTACATGATGATGTGATGTAATGACACAATGGAGCGCAATTAATCATCTGATCGGTGGCATGCACAGGCTTTCTATGGGACAGGGAGCAAAAAAAAAAAGTGGTATATCAATAGTGCACTGTGAACCAACCACAGAGTAACCCGGGCTTACCATTGGGAGACTTGTGCCAACCAAAGGGTCACTTGGGCTTACCAAAGTACCACTTAGAGCAATCAAAAGGGCACGTGAGCCACCAAAGGTGGACTATGGTCGACCAAAAGAGGATCTGGGCCAACCAGAAAGACACAAGTGCTGACCAGAGAGTTACTGAAGTAGCACCAAAATTTCACTTGAGCTGGAAGAACACTTTGGTCCAAGCAAAAAGGGCATGAGATCAAACTAGGGGCACTTTGGGCCAACCGGAGGGATGCTTGGGCTGAGAAAAAGGGGTATTTTCAACAACCAAAGGTTTACTTGAACCACCAGGAAAGGAATTTGGGACAACCAAAGGGCCACTTAAACCAACCAGAGGGACACTTTGGACAACTAGAAGAGCACTTGGGCCTACCAGAGGGTCACGTGTGCAAACTATGGACACTTGGGCTTACCAGATACACACTTTGACCAACTAGAAGAGTGCATGGGTCAACAAAAAAGCTATAAAAAGCCCTTGCAACAAGAGGACATATCCCTATTAAATATTTTTTAAAATTTTAAATAGATATAGATTGGCACATCACTCCATTTGATGTTATGAGATATTGGTCTTGTTCTGTCTCATAGATCCAGCCAAAAAATTGATTTTTCAGTTTTTAACACTATGTTGCAATTATGACTTTTCTGTTCACAAGGCCTTCACGGAACAAAAAGAATATTCTTTCATTAAACAAGACTATAAGGTATAACAAGCAGGTAAACAAATCTAAAAACACCAGATGAACTGATAAACAAATAAAATAATGTGCTGAATTCTGCTGGGTCAATAGCCGATGTGCAGTAGGGAGGCTCAGCTGATGCTGGTGACCACCCATGGGTTCTGTCATCCACGTCGGCACTTCACTAGTTACAGGCCCCATTGCTTGGTGTCTTTTGGGTCCAAAGTCTCTCTGAGACTTATTTGTGTCACCCACAGAGCCCTGGAGACACACCTGCCAACACCTACACACACACATATAGTCGTGTTCAGGCTTGCATGATTGCTGGAAAAGATAAGTACAGTAGATACAAGTCTGCAAATGTAATTTTGTGTTTTCCTATTTACATTTTAAATTGGTTCAGTTGAGTCTCTTTGAAATATGTTCTGTTAAGCTTATATAATCAAATTCTTTAGAATGGTATTTTCTAGCCCGATTACACAGTTAGACTCCAATAGGATTCAGATTTAAAGATATTTTGTGCAATACAGCTCTGTAAGTCTTACATCTAAATCACAGACTAATCTGGTAGTGTTATTGAACTAGTCATTGGCTTTAGTCCAGAATGTGGTTGATTCTGTTGAGCTTTTTGATCCAGTCTAATGATTAATTTTCTCTTTTTTTTTTTACAGGAGTATATTAACCCACTGTACAGTTGTTTGAATGTAACACTTTTCACTTTAAATGATCAAAGATTTGCATGACTACAGCACACAACTCCCTTCACAGATGCCTCTTGTTTTTGTGATCAACAGTAAATACTCTTTATGTCTTGAACTAGAATATTTGTGCATTTTCTAACCTTTTTTTTCTACCTGAAAACACATTTTGTTGTATATGATTTAATATTAAATAATGTTATAAAGAGTTCGGTCTAGACCTGCTCTATTTGAAAAGTGTCCTGAGATACGTTCTGTTATGAATTGGCGCTATACAAATAAAATTGAATTGAAAACTTTAATTGAAATAAGATATTTGCAAATTCTCTTATTATTTTCTAGGAATGTTATTAGAGAGTGAAAACCCAAACAAGCACATTGTTAACAGGCAACACCAGGAAGTGGCTTTCCTGACAGATTTGACTACTGGCCACAGTATTCTAGTATTGAGAATGTCTGTGTGTTAGCAAATGTTGACTCAACTGTCCTGCTAAGGGAATGACAAGAATTCAAATTTAATGAGATTTTTTTTCATGGTGCAACTTCTCCGTCATATCAGAATTCTGCACTTTGACTCATTGTTTTCGATTCAAAATAGGGGCACGGGGAAATACTAGCTGGAAACAGAGGGAAATGTGAAAACACAAAAGCAGCGAAGAGTGTGAACTCCATGGCATATTACTATGTCCTCACACTGCATCTGTGTCCTGACATGGCCCCAACCGTCTAACCGCATTTGCCTTCTCGCACTCAGGGGAACATAAGGATCGCATATGCCTTTGGCAGGAGTCCACACCCACATTCCTCAGCTATGTGCTCACAAGCGTCCTCTCTGCCCCCCTCTCCTCCTCCCTCCCACTTCGCTCTGACACCAAAACCTTGGCCCACATTGCTGTGCACTGTAAAGAAATGCAAACACATTTTTTTCCTGGACACTGGGGGAGGTGAAACATACAGCATGCCACTTCTTGAACTAAGTTGAGCCTTCCAAGCTCTCCTCAATGTGCTACTGACTAATCTGATTGTTATTCATGTGGATTATGTAGGTTTGTCTAGGTTCTGGGATGGGATGGGACCTAGATTCTGATACTCATTTCACAGAAGTTTTCTTCAGTGTGAAATCCAGCCCTGTAGGAACGAGTAGGAGAAAAAAATGGTAAAGTAAGAAAAACCCTTGAGCACTGCAACCAGTCTGCAACTTCTGAAGAATGCTTTTTAGCCAGGGCTTTTTATGAGACTAGTCCCCAGTGGCTTGTCTAGTTAAAGGTTATCTTTTACTTTACTTACAACTCAAAGTCAAAGACATTGGGGCCAGAGAGGCTGTGCAGTTTGCTGTCTGGGGTGACTGGGTTCAGTGGTAGGGGGTGCATGGTGTGGAATGTGGCTGTAAGGAAAAGCCAGGAGGAATCATTATAGGGAAGAAATGAGACGCCAGAACTGTGAGTACAGCACAGAAGTAGATAATTTTTAGTCTTTTATAAAACAAGCCTCTGCACATGGCTTAAATCTCCTGTTCTGGGATCCTTTATCCTCCTGTGACAATGTGCGCTTTCAAATTTTCAAGTGTGGACACTTTATAGAAAATGAAAGCATGGAATATACTTTACTCTGCATATACTTTGATTTTCAGACTCTGGGTTGATGGCTATTTATAATGGTTTTTGCCATCTAGCTCCTGACTTCTTAATTGTTTCTATCACAAACATAGCCGATGCTACATTATTTCAAATCCTACTACACTTTTCTAATAGCCCTCCACAACTTCACTAGAAGTCTTGTCAAGTACTGTAGCTCTTATTGTACTACATGAGTCACTTTGACCTGGAAATGTCAGTTGGCTTATTAGTTGGAACAAAAATGTGACCTCAGGCCAGACAACCTCAGACAGTCATCTCCTGTAAATACCAGTTGAGGTATTAGTACTCAGCGCTAAAGAAGAAAAGAATAGTATCATTTCTTGATATACAACAATTTGTGTTCCTATCAGCGACTGACTGCTCTGGAGGCAGGAATCAATAGTGGTGGCTAAAACGCCCATTGCCATGGGTTATGGCTTTTTTCCCCTCTCTAGCTACTTTATTTGCATAATTATATAAATAAATGTATTAGAAAAAGTTATAATTATTTTGGCAAAGATGTATTTCAGTCAGTTGTTTTTGTCATTGAAGTTACTTCTATTCTGAAAAACAAGTTATTTGGTCCCACCAACTGATGCTTTACACAACTAACTAGATTACTTCTATGTAACACAATAATGTAAGCTCAATGGTCCACTTACTAGCTTTTAGCCTAATCTCCCAGACTTCTTCAGCAAATGGCGACAACCTGTGTCTGCCGGCATTGCAGCTCCACCTCTACGTCGTGTTTGTACCAAACCAAAACTCCAAGGCGCTGATACCGACTTCTGCATGCAATATCTTTGTTGTTGTTGAATGACAAATCTGAGACATCTTTAACACAGAAGTACATTTATTCAGGTCTTAGTACATTAATATTGAACAGTTACATATTCTAATTGATTGCAAATCACACAGCACAAGTCCAATTTATTTCTGTATATAAGTTAAATGTAACAGATTTTTATTTTAAAATATGTAATGGGAACTCTTCCTCTTGTTATGAGGAGCACTTTGTTATAAAATGTAAGTAAAAGTGCAATATCTTTTCTACTCATAAAATTACAAAAATTGGTCCAGAATCTGCATTCTGATCAGGACTGACAGACTAAATATTGTTTTTTTCATTTTAAAAATGCAATATATCTTTCCTTTTTTCAGTAATTTGCTTTTTGATGCTATTTTCTAAAAACTGTAGCTAAATACAAGAAATACAACATTGTCAGTTTACAAAAGCTTAGCATATTAATCACTGCATCATCTATTTTCTAAATAAACTTCATTTTTTTCCCATATAACTATCTGGAACATTGAGTTTTGACAACAACAATACCATAATATCTCACAGCGCTATGTTACAATAAAATATCTCTGTCAGAAGTTCAAAGAAAAAGAAAATATAACAATAGCAACATAAAATTAAGGAATACAATGCATAGATTCAATCATTTAAAAATGTAGAGATATAATTTACTTAGTACAGCTCTTTTACTTTAGAGTGAACCCTGTGACACTGACTACATGGATTCATTACAGTTTATCCTGACTTGAGTGACCGGCACAAATATATATAATTCTGAACATATCACATGATAAAAATGCTTAATATATCACTTTAACTTCAAAAGGCAAATTTGGCTATAGTACACTATGGCATGTTTGGGTAAGAAAAGGCAACACCTGGCACCAAAGCCAAACAGCAGCTTCTTTAACAGCTTCTCTGCAGGGCCTTTTGAAATGTTAAGAATTTCATTTACCTGCCCCGCTCCCTGGCTTTCTTAAAATCTATGTCAGCGGTGTCAGATCGTGTGCCATTACTGGTCTAGAGTATGAAAGTTTTCGTTTCAAGCAAACACCAGAACTAATTACAGAGCTTCGCCCTCCAGCTGGAGGTGAACTCAATAGTGGAACGACTTAAATAAAAACCTGCATACCCAGAGCCCTTGAGAGCACATGATCAGACACCCACTGACATATGTGGTGTCTGGATTAATCATACAATAAACAATAATGTCGAATAGGCAGTTTTCCATTTTAGTCTATAAGCCACCGAACCAGTCGACTTCATGAGAAGCAGTCATGTTTACAGACACCATCTTCACAAAGGTAGCAACAACCTTGTACACTATTTGTGACTCTGCATAATAAGTCACTGACAGGCTGAAAAGCTCATTGTTAGTACAGCAATAAGTGGGAAAAGCAAGTCAGAAAATGCAAATATACAAGCTAGATAAGATACTTAACACTTAGTGGCGCTGTTCAAGGGCAACATTAAAAAATAATGAAAATAGACTTGTTATTTAAAGATGATTGGAGCTATCAAGTAACGTGTTACCGTTATATCAAATGTTTAAAAAGACAGAGATAGGTAGAGGTAGGAGGGGCAGAGTAAAAGTGGAGTCTCATTAAAAGCAGTAAAGCTGATCCTATTGACAGCATCAGAGGGCTCTTTTGGACAAAAAGGAATCATATTGTACTAAATTAGACCAATAATACTAACCTTTTACGACAAAGAAAATGAAACGAATTCTGAAACTGAACAGGGGACAGGCTGGTTACTCACAGTGTCTTTAATGACAATCTCTGGCAGGTCTTAGACTCAGCCTTGGTGTTAAAAAAACAACAACAGTAGCACTGAGAATATCTTTTATCAAACAAACCTGCCTTGACCTCTTAACATTCACAGCACTGCGAAGCTATCGGGAAACCTTGACAATAACAATCCGCTCACTCGTTTCTTCTTGACTTCTAAAAAAAAAAAAAAAAAAGGGAAAGCCGGGAACTGAAAATAAAGAATTCACTGTACTTTTCTTCAAGACCGCTGGATTTGAGTATCTTCTGGACCGTAGACATTTACAATACAAAACCCTTCAAGCCTGCAGTTGATATCTACTTTGTTAGGCACAATAAATAGGCCCCTGTGGTATTAAGGTTCAGAGTGACGAATGACTCAGAACAATTCTGATGTCTGAGTGCAGGTTATGCACCAGCATAAATCTATATTAACCACAAATAATTTAGGTCTCAAATATATACTAAATCTAGTAAACATCTACTACATCATTTTGATATACAATCTTAACGTATGTACAATAAATCTGAAAGTGTATTTCCATTTTACAGCCTGACTGATTTAAAAGAATCTGATCCAGTTTTCTCTGTGAGCTCATTTCTGCTGCCTTTTTTTGCTTCCGCTCTGTAAACACTATTTACAGTCTTAGAAAATACACTACGAGACCTGATTTTACAAACTGTATGATGACATTATGTACATTCAGGCAATAACAAAGTGAGTCATTATGTAACATCATCCGAGGATCCCTTGAGAAGTCTCTCACTTTATGTCATGTCAGTCCACAAACCCATGAGCCAGATTACCTTCATAATTCTTCTGTAGTGGTAACCAATTATCACCACACTGTACATACAAAACGTTTGATTGTGGAAACCCAGTAAACAGCATGGTATGAGTTAGAGCACTTCTACAGATTGTGCTGTTGCTATCTGTAACCTTTATGAGTAAACCAGAGAGGTGTGTTTCAGTTTGGCTCTTACATTAAGGCAAAATGTTTGGCACTTAGTTTGTACAGAATATTTGATATTTCAAAAATAATTCTGATTTCAACTTCACCAGTTCTAGGAAACTAATAGAGATGCATTCTCAGCAGATCATGACCAGTGTCAGTCTCCTGAAGTGACCCGAAAAGTGTTTTTGAAACAGAAATGTTGATGGTACAGAAACTGCAGGTGAAGATGTGATGAGGATACACTTTTTGTCTCAAATGAGTTCTGATTGTGTCTTTTACCAAACAGCGACAGCAGTCATTTGAACTGAACATTTTTCACCCTACAGCTTCTACCCTGACACCCAGCTGTGTGTGGTGGTCTTCACTCCGTGGGGGAAACCTTGTTGGGTCACCATTGGCTCAAAGTTGAAATCCAGAGAGTCTCCGTCCATCAGAGTGTCATGGAGAACCGTCTCCATGTCAAACTCAAACTTCTCAATGGACATGTCATCCAGGTCGCTGGGCAGCTTCTCCGGGTGTGAGGGCTGTGGCAGGCCCGGTCGGCCGTATCCGTTGGTGTTGAGAGGGCAGAAGCCACCAGACATGCCTCCCCCGCTGAGGTGGCTGGAGATGCCATAAGGCATCTGCATAGGGCTTTTTGGTTGTAGGGAACGCGGGGTGCCCCCGCTGTGGCTCAGGGGCATGAGCAAGCGGCCATTCATAGCTGGTGATGAGGCTGGGGCTTGGCTGTGCACATTGTGGGGGTGAGTGTGAGAGAGGCCGTGAGGGTGGCTGTTACCTCCTCCCATTAGTTTGGCAGCATGCTGGCTGCTGCTGTACGGCGGCAGCATGCAGCCTCCGCTCGACTGAGACACCACAGTGTCCACTGACGGCATTAGATCTCCGTGCTGGTCTGTATCTGTCGTCAGCAGCTCCTTCAGAAGCCCCGCAGGACAACTATACTGGCCCATAGTGGGCCCGAAGCTGGGCTTACTCTCTGGCAGTGTCTGCAGCGGCATGGACGACAGTGTGTTCATTCCCGCTTGGCCATACACACACTTGCGGTACTCCTGCTGAGGCTGCGACACCATGCTGGGGGAGCTGTACGTGGGGTACCCAGGGCTCGGCTGCATCATAGGAGAGGGGGAGGACTGGGAGGAGCCAGGGGTCGTCGCCCCGCCTCCAACCTGAGAGTTGTTGGGCGACAGCAAGTTCAGGTTGTCCAGAAGGTTTTCCATGACATTCTCAGAGCTGTGTCCCAAAGAGCCTGTCATCTCTGTGAGACTGGGTAGCGTGGCCGTCATCTTGGCCCCAGGAGCTCCTGGGTAGCCCATATGCACGTCTGCCTCCCCGAGGTCATCCTCTGGCATGAAGGGTGAGAGGCGGCCACTCAGAGTGCTAGCGTTGGAGCTGGTCCGAGGCCTGAAGCTGTTCCATGCATCAAAGTCGTCGTTGCTGTGGGAGTTGGGGCTTCCAGGCCACTTGGAGTAGGAGCCAGGGCTGTCTGCGCCTACGTCAGGGCCGCCCTGCAGGGACAGCTGTGGGGAGACAGGGAGACTCTCAGTGCACCAATAGACATACTGTATGTGCCAGAGACAGTCAGTGTAACATTATGTTTTTAGCAGAAACCATTGGCAAGATTGGAAGGTACAAAAAAAAATCTAACACAAAAGTATCCTTGCTAAATACTGCATCAATAATGTGATAATATCTTAAGATAGCTGTTCAAAAGATGCGTAAAGACATGATGTAACGATAAGAACATTAGAATTGTGGATATGATTACACATTCTTAGTTAATTGCCTTCACCTCTACAAGGTTAATAAGTCCAGATAATTGTATTCGTAAATGTAATGTAGCCATTAAGACCAAGAAAAGGATAATTTAGGCTAAGAATATTACCAAAATCCTACAAGATGTCAACAACAGGATTATGTTGATCTATAAACCAACTCCTTTGCCAAAATACAATCACAAATCAGTTTCTTTTGTTTAAAAAAACAACACTGTACACTGTCTATTTTCTCAGATAAGAATTTACAAAAAGGTGAATTCTTGCCATGGTTCAAATAAATATGAGCTGTCTCTAGGCACCAGAAATATTAGACTTCTTATTTACCTTTTTCTTAGCTGCTCTTCCTCTGCTCTTGGTGAGCTTGCTATTGTTGTCCATGGAGGCTGCCCTGCGTCGCGGCGACTTGCCGCTCTTCCCGCCCTCTGGGTTTAGCATCCACCACGAGCTCTTTCCCGTCCCCTCATTCTGGACGCGAACAAAGCGGCTGTGCAGCGACAGGTTGTGTCTAATGGAGTTCTAGTGGAGAGGGATAAAGAGAAAGAGAAAAAAGCTGGGTGAGAAGCAGACAAACAGAGAGATTTGTGTTTGCCCTTTACCCAAAACATTACAGATGTGCTTTAGCATACGAGTGCAAATCCATCTGTACAGGTGGTTCTCTTTTAAAAACACACTCGGCGTGACAGCCGTCTTACAGAGGAGAAAGGGGAGATTTTAAGGTCACTCAACAAGCGAACGTCATTTGCAATTCAAAGAAACACGTGCACAGACACCACACACCCACACACACACACACACACACACAATAGCTGTCAGTGAGTTTACTCCATGAGCAATACATCCTGAACAGAGCAAGGATTAAACTGTAGACTCTCTTATCTCCAAAAATACTGTACATGTGGGCCTTCATTTCCTTCAGAAAAACAGAGGGGCCCATTGTAAAACACCATTATACCAACACTCACATTCCACCTGACTACGTGTCTTGTCTAAACCAGCACAGAATCAAAGGGAGGAAACAAACTAATCTTTCCTCCTTACAGACACATTAATAGTGCACTCTAACGTTGCTTAGTGACACCCCCAGTGGAAAAACTAATTTTTGAGCAGGAAGCTAGTGAAGCATTGTTAAAACATGGCAAACAAGAGCGAGAATATTGGGCAAACGTCTGCTAAGCAAACCACAGAAAGTGAGACGCCATTTCTGTCCTACTTTACTGGAACTACTGCTGTTCTGGGACACTTGGTTTTTTTTTTTTGGATTTCCAAACTGTTTCGGAGACTATTTACCTGGAGAAGAACTTATACTTGCACTGTATCGTTTCATGTCCTGGCCATAACATGAAGTAATAATGAGCCTTGGCCAGACATTACTGTGCATGCGTAAAGCTTGTTGTTTTGGAAGAAAGACTGGAACTCCCGGCACACACACACACACACACACATACACACACACACACACGCAGAGCTTAGCGTGCATAGTGGCTCACGTCATCAAGCCTGTTCCTGCTGTGAGTCATTGCTTCACATCTGGTTCACAGTCTGCCCTCTGCTCTGACTTTACCTCTGCTTCGCCTCATCCCAACCATCTCTTCTCATTCTTGACGCTCTTTGGTCCCACTCTAACCTATGCCACTATTATTATTTTCAACGATTCATTTGTCAACTCTGGGATGAATGATTTGTCTATAAAATGTAAAAAAAAAAAAACTGAAAAATGCTCATCATGATTTCCCATAGCCCAAATTGGTTTGGTCCAACAGTCCAAAACCCAACGCTATACAAGTCACAATAATATGAAATACAAACAATGGGAAAATTATTGCATTTGTGCTTAATAAATGACAAATATTAAAGGGCTAGTGCAGCCATTCAGTTTTGCACTTCCATACAGTTGAGGGACTTGCAAGAGACAAATAAAAAGAAGCTCGCGATTGAAGCACAAGAAGATGAGATATCCTGACTTCAAGTCCCTGTATGGGTCAAGCTCCCAAAACACTGGATCCTACATTTCCCATAGTGCAACTTGATAGTGTCTTTCATTTGACTCTCCCTTACTTTTGAATACAGACATCTTTCAAACTCCAAATTTTAAGTTTATTACAAAGGCTTTCTGTTTAAAGTGTGATTGACCTGAGATAACCCTGATGACATCACTATGACATCATCAGGGTCATTATCCAACTGTTTTCACAGCCTGACTCCTCATGATACATAAAGTAACCTGCATGTGTAAAAGTGGTAAAGGTGATGTTCCCCTTTAATCAATTAACCGAGCTGTTGTTGACTTATTTTCTGACAATCAGCTGATCAGTTCATTGATTAATCTGATCCCTGAATACTATTCCTCTCCTTTCTGTATGTACTTTTCCTTCCTCTCCACCTCTCTCCTCTCCTCACTGGAGGACCTCGGGCTCTTGGGCACATGGGGGCCCTCCTGAATACACTGGCCCTTCACAAATGAATGAAATGACGAATCAAGTGACCCGGCTGCCTCAGCCAATAGTCTCGGGCTAGTTTGCATGATCTGAGGGACGTGACAGCCCTTCCCTGATTAGCCTAGCAAATGCTTTTCTCCCCCCCCCACCCCCTCCTCCTGCACATCGGTAGCTATGACAAAAGGCGAGGAGTAAAGTCTGGTCATGAGCCTCTCTTTCCCATGACCGCTGAGAGTGCTGGTAATTTCAGCTGTGCTGCAACATGGAATGACTGCAATGTGAGTGCAGACGCCGGGATGTCCTGTTACAGCCCTATATCATCCTGATGACAGGAAGGAGAAACTCACAGCTAAAGTCTCCAATATGGACACTCTGGTTTCTAGTTTGCCTTAGGTCACAGTCAATATACGCTAGGTGTGTGATGATGGAGAACCTTTTAGAACCAGTTTTAAAGTCTTGATGCAAGAGAGGGAGTACAAGTGAAGGGTCATAAAAGCTGCTATGATGGGAAATACCAGAACTCGGCAGAACTCGGAGTGCTGTGTGGGGAGTGTGGCTGAGGGTGTCTGGTGGGGCCAGTGGAAAAGCCTCGTCTCCCACTGTGTGTGTGTGTGTGTGTGTGTGTGTGTGTGTGTGTGTGTGTGTGTGTGTGTGTGTGTGTGTTTGCCAGCTCATGTTTTTAGTGGAATGGCAGTCCGACAAACAGCAGCGCAGTATGGTTTTGATTTTGTTGCTCGATCCACTGCAGCCAGTGACATTGTGGTTTGAAAACACATGCGATTTTGGATGAACACACGCACACGTCGTTCCCCCGAGAGGCACAAACACACGCAAACACGCATAAATGAATGACAAGTATGACACATTGCTCGTTGCATTAGTTAATGTACTTATTTCTTTTTTAATATATTCGATTTTGTACAAATTGTGAGTCTGTTGCTTTTGGATCCTGCAACTGTATGTGACACTAATTTATCTCTGGCTGCAGTACACAGGAATCTTAACATTCCTGCTAATCACTGTGTGCAAAGTTCAATTGTAATCAGAGCCAACGTGTTAGTATCTCTTAGGAAACAGTAAAGGCAGGATTCCCAGCCAGGCAGCCATCACAATCAACATTCCTCAGCAAGGTTACAAAACCCACGATTTCACAGAACTGAACTCTGATTACCGTCGCCTGAGGACGGCCCTATCTCGTGTGTTGCAGAAAAATATGACAATAACATTATGTCTCATATCAAGAGTACGTTTTTTGTTTATTCCCACAAAACTGCAACAAAATGATGGAGACTTTGGAAAAGAAACAAAAGACAGAGTATCCTGCACTCACGAAAAATCATTGTTGTTTGCAATTAATACAAAGTTCATATGAACTCAGGAATGTCATCATAATAAATCTTGTGAAAACAGGCAGTAATATGACATTACTGTATCTCTGAAGGCTACTTCATGTAGCCAGAGATAATAAAAGGACTTGTCTCTGTTCTGCCCGAGCCCACCACGAGGAGCACCACGTCCGTTCTCTGAGTCAACAGAACAGAGCAGCGCTGGCAAAACACGAGGAAGTGACCACATGAAAGAGGACTGTGACAGGAAACAGAGCTGACTTCCTGCCTCACAGGAAACACGGCGGTCGTGAGGCAGAGAAAAAGGCATGGAATGCGAAGCCGCAGTGCCGCGGGCCAAGTGGACACCGCAAATTTAGCTTTCGCCCCCTCCACTACCCCCCCACTGCCAGAGAGTTTATGTTTAGCAACAGGCACTAATCCCTGATGTCACACTATATTTATTAAATGAAAGTAATGTTCACTTTGTCGTGTGACTGCTGAAACTGAATTACATGAGTGGATACGTCATGACTCAACAAGTGGCTGCAGTATGGGCGTCTGGGTGGTGTGAGTGAGTGTGTGTGTGTGTGTGAGTGAGAGAGGGGAGAGAGAGAGAGAGAGAGAGCAGGAGAATGTGTTTTGAGTGTAGGCTATTTGAGAAATAGAGAAAGAGGGGTTGTGTGTGACAGAGTGGGCATGGATCAGTAAGGAACACACTGTGCTGGTTTAAACTCCCTCACTGGCAGAACTACTGAAAGACCACAGTGTTCAGTACAACTCTCCTTTCCTTCCTTCTCCACTTCTCTTTATTACTCATCTCCTCTCCCTATTTACATCTCCTCTCCCCTCCTTCTTGCCTTATCTTCTCTCACCTCTATTCTACTGCACCCATCTCCTATATTCTATTCTATCATCTCCGCATTCTCTCCTCCCCATCTTGCCTAGTCTTCTGTCACCTCCTCCATACTACATCTTCATTCTTGCTTCTCCTCTCCTTATTCCTCATCTTGTTTCCTCGCCTATTAACTTCTTCCTTCCCACCTCCTCTTGTCTGTTTTCCATCCTTTTCCTCTCCTCTCCTACCTTCTCTTGCAGACAGTAGCCAAGAACCTGCAGAAAAATGATGCCAGACACATGCTGGCACACTGACCGAGGTGCTGGTGCTCTCAAGTGCTGCTCAAATGTCAACTCGTCTAATGAAAAAATCCCCAGATGAGCCCAACACCACCTACTTGCAGGGCTGCTTTGAATCAAGTGAAGCCACAAGTGAAACCTCAGCTGCAAAGCGCACACAGCTATAGGTATAAAGTGCAGAAATGCTCTCTCCTCACTGACTGAAAGCGCACAGCAGGTACAAACTCACACGCCAGCACTTCTCTGAACAGTTTCACACGCTTTTACCAGAGTTATGGAACTGATGAAAGTGAAAAGTGTGGTTTCCCTGCACTATTTCCACTGAACTCATTAGAAAAACGGTGCTGTCCTGAACAGGCGTGTTCACCTTTCATTACCTATGTTTCAGCTTTAACAGTAGGTGTACCCTTGCACTGTAACCAGCTATTTTCTGTGTAATGTCTGCGGCTGTGAAGAAGACAACCTATAGAGTATGTATCGCACCATTTCTAACCACCAAAGTAAGTAGCCCGAAAGCTGTAGCTTGGTCATGTCTGGAGCTTTGTGCTGAGTCTGGTGGAGTTAGAGCAGTGTGGTTAAGACAGAAAACGTGTAAACCTGTTATTAGCCTTACACCCGC